ACGCCCGGCTATTTTTTGGTTATAGCCGTCATTGTTGTTTGGCGGGCCCAGGCTAGATTTGAACCCGCCACCTTGGGTGTATGTGGCTGGCACCTTAGCCACTTGAACCACAGGTGCTGAGCCTAACAGATGTTTTAATCTGTAGGCATTCCATAAATGAAAAATATTTCTTAACAATTAATGAAACAACTTTCTTCTGAGTTTTAGTGCCTCTTTTTTTTTTTTTGGAGACAGAATCTCAAGTAGTACCCTGGGTAGAGTGCCGTAGCTCATAGCTCACTGCAACCTCCAACTCTTGGGCTCAAGAGATCCTCTTGCCTCAGTTTTTCTATTTTTAGTAGAGATGGGTCTAGCTTTTGCTCAGGCTGGTCTTGAGCTCGTGAGCTCAAGCAGTCCACCGCCTTGGCCTCCTAGAATACTAGCATTATAGGTGTGAGCCACTGTGTCCACTCATGCTTTTGTTTTTTAAAACCTATTAAGTGAGATGTACTAATATCTGTGCAGCACACTAATGGTCTCTTAAGGAAAGTAAGATTTTAGCATTTGATAAGAAATGAATAAAGCCACCATGTACTTTTATCTTAATCATTATTACAACAACACATTAATTGCTAATAGTCACATATTTGTTACAATAACATCAAGAAATTAAGAAAAAAAAATCAAATAAACAGATATCTTGTAATGCTGATTTCCTAGAATGAAAATCAATGTCAGAATGGCATACAAAGCAATTAATAGTACTGTTCTAACTGCCCACCAAAGTCCCTTTTTATTTCTTTCTACTTTCTCTTACTTTCCTTCTTTTCTGTGTCTCTGGTTCTCCCATTTTACTTTCAGGACTGATCAGCTCTAATGGTGACCAGAAAGCTCTAAGAGATATTTATCTCTGCTTTAGACTAACTTTTGTCCAATTTTTGTCAAAATATGAAAGACCCTATCTGAAGACCTAAAGATAAGGTTTTGCTTATTACAACAACAGCAAAAAAATAATTATGATTAGGTGAGCATATGGTAAAATATTCAGAATACTGTTAATGATGGAATGGTTAACCTACATCTCTTTCATTATAATTAATATTATTTAAAATACCTTGAATTTCTGCAGATCAGGACAAAAAAAGAATTTATGTAAACTGGGTCATATTTAAGTAACTTTATAATTTACAAAGATACAAATCAATAGTTTTTAATAAAACAATGAAGACAATTTTAAAAGAGCTTTATAATTTCTTAAATTATTTACTTATTTTCAAGATATCTACATTTAAACTAAAAAGAAAGACCTTGGCTCGGCGCCTATAGCTCAACCGGCTAAGGCGCCAGCCACGTACACCTAAGGCGGAGGGTTCGAATCCCCAGCCCGGACCCGCCAAACAACGACGGCTGCAACCAAAAAATAGCCGGGCGTTGTGGCGGGCGCCTGTGGTCCCAGCTACTTGGGAGGCGGAGGCAAGAGACTCACTTGAGCCCAGGAGTTGGAGGTTGCTGTGAGCTGTAATGCCACGGCACTCTACCCAGGGGGAAAGCTTGAGGCTCTGTCTCAAAAAAAAAAAAAAAAAAAAAAAAAAAAAGAAAGACCTCTGACTCTTTTCACATTATATGGTTTAGTGAAACATTTGGTTCATCCAATCCAACCAAATTTCATAGGCCGGGTGTGGTGGCTCATTCCTGTAATCCTAGCACTCTGGAAGGGTGAGGCAGGTAGATTGCCTGAAGCTCAGGAGTTCAAGACCAGCCTGAGCAAAAGCAAGACCACACTCCATCCGGCTCTACTTAATATAGAAAAAACTAGGTAGGTATTATGGTGGTGAGTGCCTGTAGTCCCAGCTATTTGGAAGGCTGAGGCCAAGAGATCACCTGAACCTAAGAGTTTGAGGTTGCTATGAGCTAGGGTGATGCCACAGCACTCTACACAGGGCACACAGTGAGACTGTCTCAAAAAAGCAAAAAACAAACAAAAAACCCTCCAAATTTTATAATCTTCTTTCAAAAAACTACTTCATTATTAAGGACACAAATACAGAGATGTATTGGTATTTCACATCAGTTGAAATAGATTCTATTAGAAGGTGACTTATAGTCTATAAATGTAGGTTATTGTGAAGCTGGAAAAGAATCAAGAGAGATAGTAGAAACGGGGGTAGAAAGACATGTCTAAAATAAGTTATCTGAAAAAAATAATATCTAACTTAATTCTGAAGAAATTATTATTTAAAAAACCAGACAGATACGAAATTTCCAAAATTACCTAGGCATGGTGGCATATGCCTATAGTCCCAGCTATTTGCTATTTGGGAGGCTTAGGTGGGAGAAGCACTTGAGCCCAGGAGCTAGAGGTTTCAGTGAGCTATTACTACACCACTGCATCTCCAGCCTGGGCAACAGAATAAGACTTTATCTCCAAAAAGAAAAAAAAAGAATCAGTCTCTATCCTGGCAACTGAACCCACAACCAGATGTGGGGGAGGGGACGACATACCTATACTAAGAAGATCTCACACTAATAGTCTTATGGTTCCCCCCAAAATGAAGAGCTCCTTGAAGGTAATCAATATATACTATTTTATAGATTAAAGCACTTTAGTACAGTGGATTTAGATAAAGAAACGGACCATAGTTTTGAATCAACTGAAGTAATACATTTGTACTGGGGAAAAGTACTTAAAGAATGATTCCTAGAGGGAAGATTACACCACCTATTACCTTGACAACCTTCACCTGTACCCAAAGGTTGCGTGGGAATAAAGAGAATAATTCAGATCTAGGTTCTGACAGGTTCCCAAAAAACCCTCCTAAAAATGTGCTGCTCTCTAAGGATGAAGCTGATTTGCTACAGGAATTCAGAATATGAGCTAGGTGAGTGCTGTGTACAAAAAGATGCCAAAGGTATTTAATTAAATTAATTAATTTTTTGAGACAAAGTCTCACTACGTCACCCTCTGTAGAGTGCCGTGGTGTCACAGCTCACATCTACTTCCAACCACTGGACTTAGGTGATTCACTTGCCTCAGCCTCCCAAGTAGCTGGGACTATAGGGATGAGCCAGAACACCTGGCTAATTTTTCTATTTTTAGTAGAGACTGAGTCTTGCTCTTGCTCAGGTTGGTCTTGAACTCCTTGGCTCCTGGGATCCTCCCTCCTCAGCCTCCCAGAGTGCTGGGAATACAGGCCCTTCCCTGGCCTCTCCTCCAACTTTTTAAGAAAAGCCATTCACATTTTAATGTGAAAATGCCCATTTTTCAATAATGGCAATGAATTTAAATTAAAAAAATAAAGACTCCAGAACTCCAAAACTCTTCAGGCCAAATTCTAGAGGCACAAACCAATAATAACTTATGTGAACAAATAGCATGGGCAAATACAGAATGATGTTTAGATTGTATGGCTAACATATATGAAAAGCATGAGGTTTCTAAGTAGCATCAAGAGGACTTTTTTTTGTTTGTTTTTTTGCATTCTTTTGGGCAGGGCCTGGTTTGAACCCACCACCTCTGATATATGGGGCCAGCACCCTACTCCTTGAGCCACAGGCACCACCCTCAAGAGGACTTTTGATTACTGCTCTTTTTCTTTGTTTCTTTTTTTTAGGACAAGAGTCTTACTACATCACCCTCAGTAGAGTGCCGTGGTCTCTTTGGCTTAAGCAATTCTCTTGCCTCAGCCTCCCAAGTAGCTGGGACTACAAGCACCCACCACAACACCCAGCTATTTTTTTATTGTAGTTGGCATTGTTGTTTGGCAGGCCTAGGCTGGATTCGAACCTGCCAGCTCTGGTGTATGTGGCTCATGCCCTAGCCACTGAGCTACAGGCACTGAGCCACTCCTCTCTTTTTCTATATAAATTAAAATGGAAAAGGTAAAAGCAGATAAAAAGCAAATGATCAGGAGTAACAAATGAATATATAATAAGGGCTAACACACATTAATTGCAGAAGATTTGGAAAGAAATTTTAAGGTGACTAAGAATTTGAGCCATAGGTAGTATATGTAAGGAGGAAGATGTGGTCAAAAATTAAGAAAGAAAGATGACATTGGTTTTACTACAATAATGATGAAACCACTGAACTTTCTTTCACTTGCAACCAAACTAGAAAGGGAAACAGAAGACCCATGAGACTACTGTATAAACCAACAGAGCCAACTACTTCTAGATTATTAATTCTATGTTCAGATCAAATCCAAAGGATTGAGGAATTATTCATCTCTACCTGGTTGTTATAAAATACACATGTATGCATAAAATTTTTTTTTCACAATTTTGTAGTCATGTTAATAGTAATGTTTTTCTACTAGACGACTAACTTTTCTGAAACCTCTATCAGCTGGAAGCAAACTCATTTACTGGCTTTAAGTTCATTTGTTATTTTAAAAGGAAGAGAGTCAATATCCTGACAGTATCACCTGTCTCTGTTGCTTGTGATTCTTTTTAGGGGAAGAATCAGTCAGAGAGGTAATTGTTTCTTGTATTATCATACTTACATATACGCAAATGCCAATTAGCTTTATAACCCTGAGATACATATGAAATCCCTGGCCCATCTTGATTTCAGCATAAGCGCATCACTTAATGAATCAATGAGGCATACCCTGAGATCAATGACTCTGTTGTCTAATCTTGTATCCTGGTTAACAGTAGCTCTTCCTTCCTAAGAAAAAGGTTAAAAAAACAGAATTTACTTATTTTTAAAAAGAACACAAAAAAACATTTTTAGAAGCTGTGTTTACTTTTTAGTGAGTATAGGTGTATGTTAGTATTATGCCCCCAATCAGGGGTTCAAAATAATGGTAAAAACAAGAAGCAGGGCCAGAGAGAGAAAGAGACAAAAAGAATAGAAATGCTTTTCCTTCTTTCCCTCTTTTACCCCTAAAAGCCATGATTCACTACCAGGATATGAGAAGAATTAACCATCTGTATTTTCATTGATTCCTAGATTTAACCTGTTAGCCCCAGATTTAAAGAATAGATAAAACTGACATAGAGTAATGGTTCTCAAAATGTTGTCTGGGGAGTGTAGCAGACCACATAGCTCATAGGAAGAGAGTTTTAAGAAACACCTGTAACAGCTCGGTAATATAACACCTTGGTGATAAGAGCATGGTGAAGGGATTCGGCTCTCTTCAGCTCTCCTAACATAAGAGCTTACAAGACGAGAACATCAGTGATTGGCAGTCTCTACACCTGTGGTGCTAATAGCTACGGGATCACATCCATAAGAAGCTGCAGGAGAGGTCAGTTGGGAGCGTGAATGCTATTCTTTCATGGACTCACTCACTCACTCTGACTCTTTTGCTTCTTCTACCCGCAGGGCATCTTCCTGGCATCTCTCCAAGAAGACTGGTAAGATTTACTTTCTCATAAAGACTGTTTCTCTCTCGTTCGCTTCCCCTCTCTCCTTGTTAAGGCAAATAGCCCTCAGGTACTTGAGGGTAATTATTTCCAAGCAAAAAAACACAGTGGTCCACATCTGGCAAAAAAGTCAGCAGGGCAGAGACCTGGCCAGTCCTGGGCCTCGACAGGGGACCAGTAAAGGTCCCTGAGATCTTGGGGGAGGAGTATGTGAAGTCAAACCTGTTTTTTCATATTTTGTTTATATTTTTTCATTTTTATCCTTTATGAGTATGTTGAGGAGTTTTATGAAGGCTCTATGATGTGTGTACTATCATAAAAGAATGATAAATAAAAGAGACAATATGAGAATCATAAAATCATAAAACAGACAATATGAGAATCTAGTTGCCATCTACTAAGCCAGACATCACAAAGATTTGCAGATACATAAAGCAATCAATGTCTCTCAACACTAAATCATTTTTTGTTCTGGAAACTAATGATTTCTCATGAAATTAAGTTATTTGCTATTTTTATTATTTAAGAATACTGTGTATGTAAATGTAATATATTTATATTTAATAAGTTCATAAATATTTAAAGATTTCTCTACTTTAACTTCTAAAACTATAAGTATTGATAGATATACCACCACCAACAACAAAAAGCTTGTGAGGCCCCCAATTATTTTTAAGAATCTTAAGATCAAAGTTGGAGTAAATTTATTATTTTTTAAAAGGCAAGAATTAAAGTTTATTGAGGAAGAGAAAGGTAGATTTATAGAGTAAGAGCAAGATATAGGCTCACAGAGCAAGGTATGTTTGTCATAGACAGCAAACAAGCCTCCATTGCCAGGCTAAGTAGGCAAAGAGGCAAAGAGGCCCTATTTAATAAAATAAAGTAAATTTAAATAAAAACAGAGCTCAAATAAATTTACAAGCATCCTCAGGATAAAAGCAGGGGATCAAGTTTTCAGTATTTTGCAAACTAAATATACAGAGGAAACATAATAGAATTTTTACCTCTTCTCCTTCTGCCTCAGGCCGAATGGCATCATCCAGCTGCAGGGGCAGGCGTGGTGCAGCCGAACTGATCACATAAATCTGAAAGTGAGAGATTGCCAAAAATAGCTGAAAGCACATAAAACCTTTTATTTTTTGCTTAAAAAAAATGTACAGTTGGGCGGTGCCTATGGCTCAGGGTAGGGTGCTGCCCTGAGGATGGCGGGTTTGAACCTGGCCCTGGCCAAACTGCAACAAAAAAATTGTTGTGGCAGACACATGTAGTCCCAGCTACTCAGGAGGCTGAGGCAAGAGAATCGCCTAAGCCCAGGAGTTAGAGATTGCTGTGACACCACAGCACTCTACCGAGGGTGATAAAGTGTGACTGTCTCTAAAAATAATAAAAAAAAAAGGGGTGGCACCTGTGGCTCACTGAGTAGGGCACCAGCCCCATATAACTGCGGGTGGTGGGTTCAAACCCGGCCTAGTGTTGTCATATAAAAGCTGTTTTTAGGCAAATCAATTGCAAGTTTCAATTAAAATGAGGTCTGCTGTAAGAATCAACTAAAGAATGTGAAAACACTTTACTCACATGAAGGGGTCATTAACATATTATTAACTTGTTATTTTTGTTAACAGCATTTGACCAGTGCTATCACCAGGACCAAATTCAGTCCAGCTCTGCCACACTTCTCTCATTTGTTCTTTTCCCAATGATCCCTTCATGCCTTCTCTCATCAAACACAATACATCTCATTTCCTGCTACTCTCCTGCTTGGAAGATGTTCTTTTATGCTGTTAAACTCTGCCAATATTCACTCAATCTTATTTCACATTGTGTGGTAAAAAATAATTAGATCATGAAGACTGAGCTAGAGTTTTTTGGCTATCATTAAAAACATTTTACTATATTAGTTATTTCTAACTATGACTGGAAGACCTGCTTTTAAAGCACAAAAGGGAAACAAACCTTATTTATTTAGGAAAGCAAATTCTGTTCTTCCACATTTAGCATATTTTAAAAAAAATACAAAAGAATACTCCAGTCTTCTACACAATAAAATTATTTGTCACCATTCCCTGTACCCAAGTTGTGGGGTTCTCTTTGAGGAGTAAACAGAAACTTCATCTCCAGTCCAAACTGAAGAACTGAAGAGCCTACCCCTTCTACTTTTACAACTAGTGGAAATTAATTTTCTTTTTCATTAAGTTGTAACGACTTTGATTCTCAAAACTTCACATAGTGCTTAGCATAAACCATAAAGCATACACTATCAGTAACTGCTGGTGGGATGAAGGGATAAATAGACAGACAAAAATAAATAAGTAAATAAATAAATCAATAAAGGGGAAGTTATTACTTATGAAAGATTCTACTTAGAATTCAATACTTTATGCTTTGTGAAGTACTTTATGATTATTTTTATTGAGGCAAAATTTATAAGCTCCTCAGGCTTAAAATTTATTAACATTTATGAAGGTTATACTGCATACTAGATAATGAGATATCAAAGTAGATTTGCTCTAGACACTAAAATTTTTTTATCAAAGTAAAAGGTACAGGGGAAGATTACCTTTCCTGGTCTGCATAAAGGAATTTATTAATTTATCTATATCCTTACTCTTTAGTCTGTCTTTAGTAGGTTACAGATTTCTTGGTGGGGTTGGTTCTAAAGGAGACTTGCAGAAGGAGAACAAAGTAATTTGTTGAGTTAGGTCAGTAAAAACTACAAGATTTCCTGGGTGGCACCTGTGGTTCAGTGGGTAGGGTGCTGGCCCCATATACCTAGAGTTGTGGGTTAGAACCTGGCCCCAGTCAGACTGCAACAAAAAAATAGCTGGGCGTTCTGGCGGGCACCTGTAGTCCCAGCTACTCGGGAGGCTGAGGCAAGAGAATCGCCCAAGCCCAGGAGTTGGAGGTTGCTGTGAGCTGTGATGCCACAGCACTCTACTGAGGGCAATAAAGTGAGACTATCTAAAAAAAGAAAAGACTACAAGATTTCCTAAGTCTCTAAGAATTCTATGACAATCAATTCCAGTTAAATACAAATGTACTCCCAAATTAGTGAGTACATGTGAATCTATTGCTCTGAATCTGTCTGCCTGATTCTGTTACATATACGTTCATGCAAATATACACACATAGGGGTAATGATAGGAAGAAGCCAACCTGTCTTGGAAACTATTCCTCAAAAGAAATTTAGTGATGCATACTATAGACAAAATCTAGACCTGAATCTGAGAATGGCAGGTTAAAAGGTATAGGGTTATTTCTTTTTTATAATTCATTTATTTTTAGAAACAGGGTCTTGCTCTGTTGCCCAGGCTGGAGTGCAGTAGTGTGATCATAGGTCACTGCAACTTCAAACTCTTGGACTCAATTGATCCTTTTGCTTTCACCTTCCAAACAGTTAGGATTATAGTGCACATCACCATGCCTGGCTAATTGTTTTTAATTTTTTAGAGGCAGGTTCTTGCTATGTTGCCCAGGCTGGCTTTAAGTGATCCTCTTATCTCAGCCTCCCAAAGTGCTAAGATTACAGATGTGAGCCACAGCTTCTGGCTAAGGTTATTTCAATAGTACTAAATACATGTACATCTACTCATGATATTTTAAGTTGGTGATGATGAGCACTTTCAGTTTTTATGTCTGAAGAATGAAAAGATGAAGGATGAGATTTATAAAAAAAGAAGTTACTGCTGGAATATAAGACTAATCAATATAGTACTGTCTCTTGTGACTTCTCTATGCTGTTAAAATATCAACTGTGATTATAATGAGATGTAAGATTTAGCATAATCAATCATTCTCTAAAGGTACATCACCAGAAGAAAATTCACAGAAATATAGGTTCACTATTATTAGTGAAGAAAAATTTTCAGATGTGTTTTATACTTTGCCCCATGTGACTGTAGCAGACTGCAAAGATGGCTGCAGTACTTCTTCCTGCTTCTGTACATACGTTGCTATGCAATGATGTTGCCTCTCCTCTCATCAGGAGCTGGAATCTATTTCTCTACCTCTTAAATCTGTTTGGCTATTTGACTATGACCAATGGGATATTTAGCAATGTGACATAAGCAAAAGCTTGGAAAGTGTTTATACATTCTGGGAACCCCACTGCTACCATATAAACATGTTTGGGCTAGCCTGCTGGATAAGGTCACAGGAAAATATCTCAGTGAGCCTAGACAATGCCACCTTGTATAAAAGAGCCATCCCCAGCTGGGGGCATCATAGAATTGTTAGCAAATAAATCGTTTGTTGTTTTAAGTCACTAAGTATTGGGGTGATCCTAATTTTCATAGACTGTACGTGTACCACATGTAAGGCCTAATTCCTTATTTTGACCACCTCCATATGTTGACCAGTTTGTTATAGGTACTATTGTATTGTATTTTACATCAACTCTAATTATTAAGAACATACAAGATTTGACATAGAAGATTTAAGAACTACTCTAATCTCTCTTTATATGCATTTATATTTTGAAAAAAGTTACCTTCTGAACATGTAACTCAACATCTTGCTGTGTACAGCTTTCAATTTTCTGATTAACTGTCCTCACAACGCCTTCTACATCCACAATGCTTTCTTTGTTGATGCTGTCAAGAGAAAAAATTCCCAACTTCAATCATCATCAGAATTCATTTAGTGTTTTAGCAATAAAGCAGAATATGCTAACTCATCTTTAATAGTGTAAGCCACCTAAGATAAAGCCAGTCTATTCAACCTGCTTAGAATAACCTATTATGTAACATACCTTATGTGATTCCTTGAAGAATCAAGAGGATGTTTTCCATGCCATAAATTAGTTATTATCACTTATAAAATTCTCTGGATATAAAAGGTAATAAGACCAGCACTAAACTTGGCAAAGTAGGAAAAAGTCTTTTAATTATTTATTAAAGAACATTTCTCTCCCAATATTTGAGATTCACTAAGGTCAGCATTTCCTGTAACAAGAAATATTGGCTTCAATAAATGCAATTACTAGTATGTAATGGAATTATATAATAGAAGATGGTAGACTAAAAAGATTTCAAGGTAATTAGAGGACATTAGGATGCTGATTTGCAATTAAATCCTCATTACCTTTAGTTCTGAGTATATTTTATCATTAGATTTATGACAAAAAGTCTATCGGATTATGTATTCTCACTTAAAAGAATGCTACCTTATATGAAGCTTAATACATGATTAGTGTAAAATAAATGCAGCTCCTGGGCAGTTTTATTCTGTAACAAACCTGAATTTTAAACACCAGACACTCAAATTCTAAAATATATGATTTAAGAAGTAACTTATTAAATATACTGATTATTTTTTGATCATTAGTATATAACCAAAGGAGAAACAGTTTAATCCAAAATGGTGATTTCCACACAAAATGTACCAATTTTACTTGTGTATATTCTTGTACAGAATGTGTTATAAAATATCTGGTGACGGGGTTTAAGATTTAACTTTCATGGAAAAATTCAATTCATTCTGATATGGAATTGGTTTCTTAGTCAATGTGGTGCTACTGGACAATCCAGACAGTGCTTATTTTATTTAACTCCTGCAGTGAGTGCAGGGGTTCACTGAAGCCTTGAACCCCTGGGCTCAAAGGATCCTTACATCTCAGCTTCCCAAGTAGGTAGGTAGCACTACAAGTACACACCACCATACCCACTAACATTTTTTTTTATGGGGGGGCAAGTGATGGGTTTCACTATATTGTCCCAATTCATCTTAAAGTTCTGCCCTCAAGTGATCCTCCCAAAGTAGGGGGATTAAAGCTGCAAGCTATTGGGCCTGGCTCACAATCCATTCCAGGGAATATTTGTTAAAGCTGGAAAAGAACTAAAATGGGAAATAAGAGCTGGAAATTGGGGTAGAAAAATTTTCACTTCACTTTGTGATACTGCTCAGAATTTTATAGATCTGTTGTCAAGTATTTTTTAAAAAAAATCAACAGTAAACATATCTCTTATAATCTCCTAAGTCTGCTTTCCTACACTAAAGTTATCACCTAAGATCTATGTAAAATACTGTATACAAAGAAACTCAGAATTTACTATGGCAAAAGAAGTTTTGGTGAACTAAGATAAAGCTCCTCTGAGATCTCAAAGAAGCTTCAGTTTACTGTTAGAAAGGCTTTGTAATACTTGAAATTAAGAGTCACTAAATCTGTCTTCAGCCCACTGTGGTGGCTCACACCTGTAATCCTAACACTCTGGGAGGCCAAGGTGGATGCTTTGCCTGAGCTCAGGAGTTGAGACCAGCCTGAGCAAAAGGGAGACCCCATCTCTACTAAAAATAGAAAAACCAGTTGGGCACTGTGGTGGGTACCTGTAGTCCCAGCTACTCAGGAGGCTAAAGCAAGGGGATTGCCTGAGCCCAAGAGTTTGAGGTTGCTGTCAACTATCATGCCACAGCACTCTACCCAGGGCACAGAGAGACTCCTTTTCAAAAGCAAACAACCCCCCCCCCCCCAAACTCAACTAAATCTATCTTCAGTGTGACTATTACGTACTAATTGGCCACCTCTATTTATACAAGTAAATGTAATACCTAGGTGTATGATTTAGGCCTGGGGAGAATTCTATTGCTTATCTCACATGACTCCATGGTGCTACTCTGAAGAAGAGCTGTCTTGGGCTACACATTAAATACACAACCACTAACAAAAGCTGATGAGCAAGAAAAAAAAAAAAAAGGCCATGCTTAATTTTTGTAATATTTGCCAGAGATATACAAAAAAGTCCTCATATAATAATCCTAAATAAGCTGTGGCCAGTTCAGGAAGTCTTTTAAAATCATCAAGCAGGTCTCAAGTTTGCAAGCACTAATATAGGAAGTGAACATATCTAAGTAATAAAACATCTTTTTATTTATTTATTTATTTTTTTGAGACAGAATCTCAAGCTTCACAGCAACCTCAAACTCTTGGGCTTAAGTGCTTCTCTTGCCTCAGGCTCCCAAGTAGCTGGGACTACAGGCTCTGGCCACAATACCTGGCTATTTTTTTTTGTTGTTGCAGTTGTCACTGTTCTTTTAGCTGGCCCAGGCCGGGTTCAAATCTGCCAGCCTTGGTGTATGTGGCCAGTATTCTACCCACTGAACTGTAATAAGTGCCGCCTAAAATATCTTTTTAAAAATTTATTATAAAAGTAAACAGGGTGGCACTTGTGGCTCAGTGGGTAGGGGGCTGACCCCATATGCCAAGGGTGGTGGGTTCAAACCTGGCCCCAGCCAAACTGTAACAAAATACAGTCGGGTATTGTGGCGGGCACCTGTAGTCCCAGCTACTCGGGAGGCTGATGCAAGAGAATTGCCTAAACCCAGGAGTTTGAGGTTGCTATGAGCTGTGACGCCTCGGTACCCTACCAAGTGCAAAAAAGTGAGACTCTATCTCTAAAAAAAAAAAAAAAAGTAAACAAAAGGGGACAACATAAAACTGGTGGGATATTTTACACTATATTTGAGAAACTAATGCATCAACATCTGGTTCAATGGAAGTAGCTGCAAATTCTCAGTGAGTTCTCAAGGTCTCATCAGATATTTTGGTTCTAATTACTGTGCTTCATTCTTGAAAACAGTTGCTCACAAACGTAGGTGCTGCCAAAAAGTGATGACACAAATAAAGTGTAATTGTGAAGAAAGAGATACTTGTTTCTGAGAAGATAGGACCTTTAAATGTCCATTGAAGAGACATGATCAAACTCTTTTTTTTTTTTTTAATTTATTTTCTGAGTTTATTGGTGGGAAATTCCAGGTTGATTCCTCTCTAATACGCCTCTACAGTTCGGTCTTCTGATTTTTTCTTTCTTTCTTTCTTTGTTCTTCTTTTTGGTAGCATTTGTTATAATTACCTCTTACTTTTACTTTTCTTTCTTTTTTTTTTTTTTTGGCTGGGGCCAGGTTTGAACCCACCATCTCAGGTATATAGGGCTGGCACCCTACTCCTTGAGCCACAGGTGCCTCCCTGATCAAACTCTTTAACTTGAATGTCAGATAGCAGCTCTAATGCATTCCATTTGCAAATTGGCAGGTAACACATATTGACTGAAAATGGAATTGCGAATGTAACAAAATATTGATTATTTTTCTGGAAATCTTGAAATCTGGTTTCAAATTCTTGTATTAAATAAAATAATATTTTTTGCTTTTCACAGGACTGTGTTTAGCCAACATGTCCAAATGCACAATTGCCTTAATTTGAATTTGTCATAATCTGTTTCATTTGGAATGCAGTTATGGTTTGAAACATTGTATTGGTAAGTTGGTTTTCACCTTGAAGATGCATGTTTAACTCACTTAAATGGGCAGTTAAATCCACTAAAAGTGCTATATCTATAAACCAGTTTTCATTGTCAAGTTCTGGCACCAATTTGGTTTTTGATACCATAAATGACTTGATAACATATTATAAATCATAATGTCTTTTCAACATTTGGCCTCGACTTAGTCATCTCACTTCCACCAAAAAGTAAACAATGTTACCAGAGTCGGTATCAATGCTTTTAAGGAATTCCTGGAAGTGACAATGATTCAATCCCTTGGCCCTTATGAAATCATAGTATGAATGATTTGCATGATATTATCCATTTTTAAAGGTTTTACACATAAATTTTCTTTTTCTTTTTTTTTGAGACAGAGCCTCAAGCTGTCCCCCTGGGTAGAGTGCCGTGGCATCTCAGCTCACTGCAACCTCCAACTCCTAGGCTCAAGCGAGTCTCCTACATCAGCCTCTCATGTAGCTGGGTCCACAGGCACCCGCCACAACGCCCGGCTATTTTTTGGTTGCAGCCGTCATTGTTGTTTGGCGGGCCTGGGCTGCATTTGAACCCGCCACCTTGGGTGTACGTGGCTGGCTCCTTAGCCACTTGAGCCACAGGCGCCGAGCCGCATAGATTTTCTTGAAGTATTATACAATGATACTTGAAAAAATGTGAGTTTGGGCAGCAAGTGCATCATCTTCCATAAATTTTACAAATCTCTCTTTGTAAAAAAAATTTTTATTTATTTTTCTTTCTTTTCTTTTTATCATCTGAGACAGACTCTGTTTTACCCAGGCTAGAGTACTGTGGCATCAGCCTAGCTCACAGCAACAAATTCTTGGGTTCAAGCAATCCTGCCTCAGTCTCCCGAGTAGCTAAGACTAAGATGCCTTCCACAATACCTGGCTAACATTTCTAATCTTTTTAGTACAGATCAGATCTCATTCTTTTGTCTTCCCTCTCAGGTCTCAGTCTTATTCAGACTGGTCTCAAAACTCCTGAGGTCAAGTGATCCTCCCACATTGGCCTCTCAGAGTGCTAGGATTACAGGCATGAGCCATCACAATCAGGCCAAGTCTCTCTCTTTTATCTATCATCACTAGGACACCACTAGTAACTACCGTATTTCCCCGAAAATAAGACCTACCCCAAAAATAAGCCCTAGCAGGATTTCTATGCATTTGTTAAAAATATAAGCCCTACTGTGATAATAAGACCTAGTGATGGGCGTGGCCATGCATTTCGGGGTGGAGCGGTTTATCTGCCACAGCTGCTTTCTCTGAACTGTTTGCACTTGCGCAGGTGGCAACTGGTAACCGCAGTCACAGGCATCCTAT